GCAATATCTCACACACTGGGACACACACACACAAACACAACACAAACTGGAATGCTACAGAACCCTGAACAGACAATACACACTAGCTGAATATTTAACCAAGATAAGAAACAGCAAAAAGAAACAGACCCTGACAAAGTACAGGCTCAGTGACCACAGCCTGGCCATAGAAACTGGACACAGGCAGACCTGGATACCCAGAGAGGACAGGCTCAGTGACCACAGCCTGGCCATAGAAACTGGACACAGGCAGACCTTGCTGCCCAGAGAGGACAGGCTGTGCTCCCACTGCCAGCGGGGAGAAATAGAGACAGAGGTGCACTTCCTACTGCACTGTGACAGATACTCTGGGATTAAAGAAACATTCTTCCCCAAATTTACACATCTAATCCCAGAATTCCCACACCTGCCAGAATCACAACAGCTCCCAGTCCTATTGGGAGAGGGAGGAGGGAGCTCAGTTGAACTGGCAGCCCAGTATGTGATCTCCTGCCACAGCCTGAGGAACAGTGAGCCTGTCTCCCAATAATGCTTGTTATGTTTATATGTAAAAATATTATGATGTGTCTGTGTCTATTTGTTTTTCTTTGGCAACACTGATTTAGTCATTGGTCTTGCCAATAAAGCACCTTGAATTGACATTGAATTGAATGGATGGGCGCAGCAGACAGAGGAGCGGTGAGGACAGAGCACACCTTGTCAGCGAGGACCTGAACGAGGCTGAGCAAGAGGAACCGAGGATCTCGTACAGTCGTTCAAACAGCACAGCGCACCCACGCCCTCCGGATTCCGCGCAGCCGCGAGCTCTGTCCGGGCCCGGGGTGACGGTCACGCAGGAAAACACAGCGTCAAGCGTTTTCCAGACATTATAAAAATAAATTATGATTCACATTTAACCGTTTGTACAGGCTGCGTGAAGTCCCTGGTTTAAAACACCTGGTTGCTTTCCTCGCCCGTTACGGACATACGTCCCCAGCCCTGCCTGCAGCTCTGTCCCGCAGCGCCAGCTCACGGCTGGATGATCCCCCACGTGTGCGGCTCTAGGGAACACCGACGAACCCAGTAATTCTGCTTCATGTTGCGAGCATCACGAATGTAGTTCGAACGGTTGCACGATTAACTTCAGCGCAAAAGATGGCGCCCCCGTTACCTCGAGACGTACAAAGCGACGTTTCTGCTTCGTCCGTTTCGCGAACACTTTCCTGGAAACGACGAGAAAGATATTAAATGATTTCTGATCCGCCAGCTAACGCCCGGGGCTTCAAGGTGCTGCTTGTTTACAAAGGGGAGAACTCGAGTGTCAAGGGGCATGGCGTGGAATCGCCCTAAATGGGGAATACCGGGGAACAGGGCGGCCGCAGTGTCTCCCCTCGAGGCCGATATTGAAGAAATTCCCAGGCCCGGCGACCGCGGAGCCCTGGATATACTAACAAAAGGTCAGCTGTACTCGCGCTGCCGGGCCCCAGAGCCCGGGTACACTGTCAGCAGTGTTTTAGTCTAAAGGATTACGTCTCCACATAAATAATCAGAATTAAATTAAATTAAATCTCAAATAAACAGAATACATTGTGACGTTTTGCTTCAGAGTTGTCTTCGTATTGCATTCATTTCTGAGGAAAACGTGCCGTAAACAACGAAGTTGTTTTAAATACTTTGGACTGCTGAGTGAAAGCTCTGGGGCGCCACTGTTGCCCCGGAAAATAACAGGGACTTAACCGCCTCTGTGATCCCAGTTCAGAGCCCCTTGCTCTCACTGGCAGTGACCCCGCCCCGTTTCAACCAGCCTGCCGCCCTGCTTGGCGCTGAAGCCCCGGAGCTCTCGGCCCCCAGAGAGGAGAGTCGGGCCGCAGGCCAGCGACATCCGCAATAGAAAACGGGGTACTGACCCACACCCATCTGTGGCACAGGACCCAGGCTGAGTATTAACGAAGAATCAGCCACTGTCTCCTCTGCGCCTGCCAGTGACTCCAGGGACACGCGTCTGACCCAATCACAGCGCCAGCGGAGGCCAATGCGCTCTTTGCTTATGCCAATTAAGCGATAAACGTGTGAAAATTGCCATATGAAACATAATTAGCGATCCAGCGCGTGTCCGTGGGCCTATGCGTGTTTCCGCTTGATGGAACAGTTTCGCGACCCTCATGATGCAACTGTCACATCTTACACGGCTAACAAAACTCATTTTTAGTCCAGCACATTAATGCGGTTTTTTTTTCAGTTCTCTTTGCAGTTACTGAGAAAACACTTAAAATGGTATCTTGTTTTGCTGCTCAATTATCTGATTCGTTGCTCTGTTTACAGTGAATCGCAGGGCAGTAAAACAACGACAAGCACGTACCCGTGTCGCTGTACGTATATAAGAAACTATCTTTTTGTGACGGAGCTGCTCTTTTTTAAAGGGAGACTCTTACCTTAGAATGTGTTTTACATGTGTGACATATGAGACTAATAAGGAACAAGTTATAGGTTTATTCCATGCTGAAAAAAAGAAGAAAGAAAACACAACGTTTCGGCCGTGGAGCCTTCTTCAGGTGTGCTGAAGAACATATGAGACTAATGTCGAGTCCAGTCGACCTTTATCATTTAAAAACATTTTTGGGTATAGGATTGTCACTGTCCGTACCTCTTCAATCGTTTTAAGACGGATCAAACAGAGGTATCGACAATTCAAGATATGACAGGCCATACAACTACTGTATTCTACAGACAAGGTGCATTAGTAATTCATTTAACAATTATGGCTTTCCTTTTTTTTTTTAGAAAAATATACTGGTAATATTAAATCTGTGGGAAACGCTGAAAGTGAATGAACGTGGCCACTGTCCTATGAGACAATGTCCGCTTTCTGCGGCCTCCCGGCACAGAGACACGGAATTAATCGACTGTCCAGGGATAGTTAATCAATATCCGCCTTCCTGAACACTACAGTAAATTTGTTCTGAATAGTACTGATTATCGATACTCCGATTTTCTGAAAATAAGGAACCATTTTCACGGTTACCCAAAAGTGCAACACTTGATATTTCATTTATTAAACGCCATCCTGTGTTTAGACGGAGCTGGGAAAACAATTCTCAGAAATGATCAGGACAATGGGGTGAACAGCGCTTGCAGATTTGACAATTTTAGAGAAACAAACGCCTGTATTTATCCGTAATACTAAGCGGCCTTACTGTGCCTTGCGATGCCCTTTTTATAACAATAGCCCCAAATCTTGACTTTTAAACAGTTTTACACTGTGGGTTCACACGCGCGTGGTTGTATTAACTCTCTAAAAATAAGAAGCAGCAAATCGATATACGTAGTAGACCCTCTCCGACAAGGCTCATAAAATAATTAACAAACAGTAACCAACACGTTTTCCAGTGCAGAGCAAAGCCCCAGCCCCTGACCAGCTAGCAGCCATTTAACACTGCAGCCTCTGACTGACCGGCGATGACGATCAGGGCCTGGCGTGTGTGCAGAATTATTCCTTTCCCTTCGACTTCTTTTCTTTGATAAATACAGGGATGGCTTTGTTGCTGCTCCTTTTTTCGTATCAACACCCTTTCAGTTCATCAAGAAAATGAACCCGCGTCACCCTCTCACAACCACCGACGCGAGCGCAGGCCTCTGGTGCTGCTGGAGCCCTCGGGTCGCGGAAACCCGTTTCTCCATGAAGAACCATGGGGCAGCTCTTGCGATAAAACCCGTCTCCACCGCCACACGCCACACGTTTACGGTGAGGCTCCTGAGCCCTGGTTTCGGGTGACAAACGCCCAGAGGTCCGAGCTCACCCCGCCGTCTTTCCTGAGGGGCCCCGCGCGGTATGGGGGTGTCAGCGCCGAGGGGCAACAGACAATGGAAACTGGGGGCCCGCTCGCACCGCAGGGGAGAGTCCCCATCAGCGAACTCCCCTCAAGTCAGAACAGGGGGAGAACCGACAGACCCGCACGAACACGTTTTCACATCACATCTGCATAACTTGCTTTTCTAGCACAGATTCTGTTTTAACGTTTTAACCGTTGTAAATACTTCTGATCATGGACTACTGGGTACGTCGCACACGTATACTGTATATTTACACACCTAACTAATATGTCCTCTGTTTAAAAAGATTTCACTTGTTCTAAGAAATTGAAAGACAATTTTAGAAACTTAAAGTGCAACTTCATCTCAATCTGTTAAAATGTTTTAAAGGGTAAATGTTAGATACAATGTTTTTAAGTAAAAACAAACAAATCGAAAATAAATTAGTGACCACTCAAATTCTTATATTAATTTCTAACCAGTTTCTGAACTGATGACATATTAAACTCGTGTCCTGTTAAGGGGGCTTAACAGCTGAAACGTTGTTTCTCTTTTCAATTTTTTTAACATAGAATTAATCTTTACTTTCCTGCAATTTATTAAGCATGCGGGGGTATTTTTGCTCTCAACAAAAACATAAAAGCAAGATCAAGTTAACCCTCTCAGAAGACGCTTGGTGAAATAGTGTCATCAACAAGCTTTTTATTACGCTTACAGGGTGACTCTACTGGAGTGTAGTTTTTTGCTTTGCTCACTGTGAACTCAAATCAAAGACTTCTCTATCGGCTCTGAGACATGTACGTTCACCCCTGCGGACTTGAGATAACATCCTGGCCGAAGCGCCCGTGATGAGCGAGATATCTTCGAGTTTCAAGTTATTTTTATATCCGCGTTCGCTCAGGCCATTTTCACACACGACCGCATGCTCGAGTCGGACACAAAGCGAAGAATGAAAATGTCCCAGTAACAGGAACCTAACCTTACAGGGAGGCCGAGGTCTGTGGACTGAGGGCCGGCGTCGAGTCTGTTTATAGACCGAATACTTCTGCTTACTTAGAGAAGAACACAATAAATCCTTGTAAAATGCAAATCTAAGCTTGACTGAACCCGACAACGGTTTTTATTTACTTTTGCTTTCAGGCCAATATGCATTCAGAGCCGTGAGTATTTACGTTTAAGGTCGATTTTTATTGGTTGATGCGAAGGAAATTTCCTTGATGCTGTGGGCCAAACCGCCTTTGTCTTTGTTTTTACTTTAACAAAACAAAAGCTGTGAGCTAACCTTGTGCAGGAGCGACCCCTCCCCCAGAGGCATGGTCTGTGTGGTCGGAGCCCAGCTGCCCGCTGAGCCGGGGGCTCGGCTCAGGTTGGGTGCGCGCGGGTCTTTTCCCCTGATTGTACGAAAATATCCCGAAGCGTGACTCAGCATCCCGGGCCTTTAATAATCCAGTTAATCAATAAAACATTCCAGAGCTGAAACAGAGCCGGCATAAATAACGCGAGACAACAAGTGGCGTCTAAAACACAAATACCGATAAAAACGCGACCTGAGAGAACAGCATTTTATGGGGGAAAAAATGCAAATCAATTTAAACCCAACCGAGCCACCGTTACAATAGAGTTAAAAAAATAACCAGCCTCTGGGACCCTATAAAAAGACGTCAGAGGCGTGATTAAACACGTGGTTTAAAATAATAACAATAAATACGACGCAACTGGTGATCACGGAGCCCCAACAGTGTCGATTTCACCACTTTTCTTCAAGACACAAAACCCAGAACTAAACGAGCTCAAATGAGAAGACTCTCTCGACTAGACTCGCAACAACTTTTCCTGGAAACATAGGTACTTTATTCAAATTTTTTTTCTTTTTAAAAAAAGACCAAGTAAAAACCGAAACTCGTGGGTGATTGTGAACTTTGCCCCCAGCAGCAGGGTCAGTCGCCGCTCTCGAGCCTGTAGCCCCTGAACCTGTGGCTCGGGGGGACGGGGACCGTGTTGCCCCCCAGCTGCCAGTAGCGACACGGTGGGTGCGCCTCTTTGTGGGGGGAACCGTTTCTGGAACAAAGGGAATAAGCCGGACACAGGTCTCCGTCCTCCCCGACGACCAGCGAGGGCGGGCAGGGGAAGCTCCCCAGCAGCGAGAACGGCCTGTCCGGGGCGGCGGGGCCCGAGCCGGCGGCGGCCCTGCGCCGGCAGGACGAGGCGGCGGCGGCTCTGGCCGCGTTTCCCTTCCGGTCGCCGTGCGCGCTCCTGTCTCTTTTTGAAGTCTCCTGCTGCCTGTCCGCCTCGCTGCGCTTGGGAGGCCGGCTCCCTTTCAAATTCCTTTCCAAGCCATTGACTTTAAAAGCTTTTCTTGACAAGGGAGGGCGGCCTCTGGGTTGCAGAGAGGGGCAGCCCTCCAGCAGGCCGCCGCCTCTGCCCCCACCGCGCCCCGACTGTCTTCTGCCCCCTTTCGACTTGGGGACCCTGGAAACACTGCTGGCGTAACCCCCATTTTTACCATCGAAGTTAAACCCTTTGGCGTAGCACCACAGTTTGGAAGTCCTAATCAGGGGCTCAAACGTATCCCTGCCGGGCTCCCGGCTCCCCTGGGGATCGCTGGCGACACTGATGCGCTCAGTGTCCACGCTGCTCCGGCCCGGGGGCTCAGCGAGGGCTGGGCCGCCGCCGCGCAGGGGGGATCCCCGGAGGCCAGCGTCTCCAGCGCGGCTCTGTGCTTGCGCGCTCGGGCCTGACGGGGGCCCATTGTCTGGGCCCCCTTTGTGCAAAGAGTTTCCATTTTTGAGAAGTGGAAGAGCTGTCCCTGAGCCTCCCTCGGGACGCAGAAAAGGGCTCTTTTGTTGTGGAGATTGCCTGAGCCCGTCAGCGCAGACTGAGAGGGGCCCCCGTCTGGCGCAGTAGCCAGCGAGCTCTGCAAGCGAGCCCGACCCTGCGGCGACCGGCTCTGCCTTCACTGTCGCCGCCGCACGGCGGAAACCGGGGCTCTGGGGTGAGGTAGCGGGGTTGTAACCTGGCCAGCCCTGGTCTTTGTCCTGTGGGAAGAGGAGAGCTGGGTCGGGGAGAAACGGCTCTGTTTTGATCTTCACGTCCAGCAGCGGTGCAGGTGCGGGGGGTGTCTTTGCACAGACACCGGAAGCGGCGGACGAGGCCGGGATGAGCTCCGGACCGGCGTCCCTACTGCCCGGGAGGTGTAAGCGGGAGGCAGGAGCGGGCAGGGCGGCCTGGCGGTACCGTGTGCTCTGCACCGAGTCCCCGCTGCAGGCAGAGCTGGAGTCAGTGTCGGAGGAGCTGCCTTCTTCGCTGCTTGAGGAGAGCACCGATCGCCCGTCGACATGATCGTCCTCGTCCGAAGATTCAGTGGAGGCAGATTGGTAGCTGGACCCGAAGTCAGAATCCTTCTCGAAGTCCAAACTGGACTCGGAGTCGCTGGAATAGCCCGCCGAGGTGCCTTGAGTGCAGCGACCCCGCTTCGCAGGGCCAGTGCTCGCTCTGGCGTGTCCCTGGGCGAAGTTCAAGTTTTTATCGTGTAACAGCAGTGGAGCAGAATTGTGCTTTTTTGCGTACCCGTCTGAGTTGCTATAACACGGCCTTTTGCTCTTTAGATACAAGGGGAGACCAGTTACGCGACATTCATTCCCAGCAATGGCGGAGTGCAGACTGCTACTGTGGAACGTATTCACGATGCCCGAGGGAAGGAGCCCATTTACCCCGGTCAAACTGAAGAAGCTGGGCCCTTTCACAACTTTTTCATAGTTTCTGGGGTGAGTGCCGCCGGTCCCGGGAAGCAGGCTGTCCCTGGCCGCCTTGCTGTGGGAGAAACTGTGAGTGGGTTGGGAGCGGTGTCCGCGCCGCTGCAGCTGCGCTCGCTCCGCCGTGCTCCCGCGCGCAGCTGCAGCCGGATCCGCGGTGAGTGCGCGAGAAGCGAGGACGCCGCTCGGGCAGATGTTCGCGCGCAGCGTGGCCGGCGGGACTCGCGTCCCCGGCTCTGCTTTCCTGCCTTTCCTCCTCTTCCTCCGCTGGCTGGGGCTCAGGGCTTGGCAGGCGAGGCACAGAGCCTCCAGGTCTTCTTTGGCAATCAGCGAACACTTCACGGCTCGCACGGGCACCGACTGCATGGCTTTCAGCGTGCGGAGCTCCTGGATGTCACACCGCCGGCTTCTGATGTTTAAAACTTCCATTCTCTTCATAACGGTGGTGCGAGGGATGTCTCTGAACAGGTCACTGAACACCTGAGCCAGAGCGAACATCTTCCGCCCGTTCACCCGCAGGTACCCCATGCTGATCCCGTCGATTTCCTGACGGCCAGTTTGGAACCCTCCTTCTCCCAGTTCGCAGCTGTAATCCATTCTTGTTGCAGCAGCACCGGCTCAACCATTGGCGGTGTCCAAAACGTCCTTCCACTCTCCAAAAGACAGATCCATCGCTACTCTCAAATTCCGCGGAGGTCGAGAAATAATACCGCCGGTTAGGAAACGCAATTAAAATGAGAAAGAATAAAACAATGGAGTTTTATGTCCAGTAAGATCCACCAGAGCAGAAAAAAACGCAGAAGGAAACGCACCCCGAAAATGGACTTCTGTAGCTTCGGCGCGACGCTCCATGTCAGAAAGAAAACACGGGATTTCAATCCAAAATAGCAGGAATAAATGATTAATGATTAAATAATTTTAAAAGGCGAAGATCAACATGAATGTAATTGCGTGTAAACTATGCTACCAAAAGGGAACCCAATTGCTAGCTCGACCTGCATTCTTTCAGCCGCGGTCCGCGGTGTAAACGGATGCAGTGAAACAAAAGGGGAAAGAGGAGTTTGCAGGAAACGCCAGGAAAGCAGCTTCGCTCCGCATAGTTCACATAGCAGCGAGCCCACCTCAACCTTCGGCCCTTGTCTTTCTTCCAAGGGAGTCCTCGTACAGTACATTATAGGAGACTCCCCGGCACATCATTTCTCCGTGCGGCCTTCTGATTGGATGTCGGCGTTTGTGATGTCACAAAAAACCAACATTCCACCCCTCCTTTTAAATCCCTCGTAAACCCCTCTCAACCCGCACCGCTCCGGCGCGCGGCCCGGCGCGCGGGGCTCTTTGTGTACGCACCCACGTGCGCTTGTCCGGAGAGACACGGGGTCGCGTTCAAACGCGCTCGTCCAGGTAGCTTTCCGTTCGCGTTTGGCGGCCAAAAAATACATCATTTTTTTTTTTGCTAAATGCCGGTTTGACCCGCGAGCGAAGCAGAAACCATGAGTTCAGATTTGAAAGCAGCCGGTCCTGGTTGAGGGAGATGGGGGGAAGCAAATACCGACATTTCTTTTCTTTCTTCTCCGGATATTTTATTTTGGGGGTCGGGGTTTTGTCTTCTGTAATATTTCCCGTCAGGAATCAGCCCAGCACTAGACTCCTCTCAAGTTTACAGACTCGAACTTTTGTTAAGCGAAGTCAGACCTATCCGTAGGACAGAGGGGAAAAGCCTAATTACTTTATTAAAAGCGCGCCATGAATTAATGACATTTTAAGGGTTCAAAAGCACCACGTTAATTTGAATGTGAAGCCTTTACAGGGATATAATTATTCAATTAGAGACCGGGTGCGCGGCCTAGAATGGCATGGAACTGATTTTCTGCGCTGTCTGAATCTCGGATTGAATTGGAAATAGATCCCATATGTTCACTCGCTGTAGGTGAAGATGAACTGGCGTTGTGCAAAGATGTGTTTTATGCCGTTGCAGGCTCTGTGAGGTTAAATGATGCCCTATAGTCCGTATTGTGTCACAGCTGGCGCTGATGCTAGAGGGGGCGTCGGTACAGGCCGCCGCCTGAAACGCGCTGTCTCCGCTGGGGAGAGGCGACGGCACTGAGATCTCTCTACATGCGAACTGAATGCGGTCTTTTGAGCCTCCAAAAATATTTTCTAAGACATTTGTGGATGTAAAGAATTCAAATAAGAAGACAGCATATAGCCAAAAAAAAAAACCTGAATTGAAATTTCCTTGCTTGTCGCCGCACACATTTCTAAGGGCTTGTCGCTCCAAATTCACCTCAGCCGGCGAGAAAAGCGATTATTGACGTGGGAGACTTTTCCTTTCCTTCCCGGATCAGGCTGTAACGCCGCAGAACCCTGGGAGCGGCACCAGGTCTGGCCTGTGGCGCTTCCGGTGACCCCCGGACTTCCTCCCGGGCGCGTCGCTGCCCTGCTCGGGCCCGCAGCGCGGAGAGTGTGCGACATTTTAAATGTAAATACTTATTCCATTGTGTGCGTGTTTTTTTTTTAGAAGGGGGGATTAAACACCTCCATCTTCCTCATAAAAAGGATTATGTAGAGACATATATGCGTATGAGCCTTTAAACGGGCTCTATTGGCGTTGACGGACAGTGGGACAGAATTTCTGTCGGCGCGCGGAGAGCCTCCGAATCACTGCAGCGTTCGCGCGAGCCACGGGCCTCGCGCCGGCTGGGAACCGCAGTCCTTCAGCGCGCGTGCGAGAAACACCGGGGAAGCTCCCACAGCCGCTCGGACCCGTTTCCCTGACGTGTGTAACTCGCCCGCCTGGTCTGGCCTCGCAGCTTCACGCTTGCACAAGACACCCGAGGAACCGTCTCCCGCAGAAGGCTGATCGGTCGCGGAAAAGGGCTCCAGAAGTTTCCAGAACAAAAGTATACTTGCAA